TATTAATGGGGCACTCTATAGTCTAGGTTTGGGGTACACAGGACCAATAAAATAGCCATTGATTAAAATTCTATGCTGTATCCTAAAGAATTGTTCCCCCTTTTCACATAATGTCATCTTCAAGCTGGCGTTCCAGCTTGTTTTTAAAATGTCATGCTACTGTGTCGTCATACCAGAAGTTCTAGATGGTGTAGAGTGCAATGTGGCCAGTAGATTCAATGTCCATGTGCCCACTATTGTACTCTTTTGCCATAAAGTGAGTCCCTTGATTCAATGCCTAATGTTATATAAGATACTAATTCAAAAGAATCACACAGTGGGGCTCAGCTGAGACCTGTGGACAGTAAAAATAAATCCATCCCTGGAAGACTCATCAGTCCTGAGCAGGATTAAGAATGGTTCCTCCCAGGATGAAGAGTACCAGCTCATAACGTATTGCTATTTGTCTTGCCATAGGAAAGAGGCAAATTCTTAACACTTCCAAGCAGAATGACTTTAATTACCCAATAGCAGTGCTCCAGGAAATGTTGCAATATCAGCTGTAGTCCAGTAAAAGGGATTTCTGAGCATCTGGGCTATGAGTTCTTCAACTTAACTCATGAGTAACAGGGATGTTATTCTTAGATGGCCACAGAGGCTGTCCTGGTAAAGCAATTGAATAAAGCATGCCAAGAGGAAGCAATGCCCAACATGGGAGCTAACGCCCAGTCTAAAGGGAAATGCCAATGTATTATTGCCAGTGTTGTTGCCAGATCTTCCACTTTCTTGTGAGAATCTGAAAATCTAGATTTATTTTCACACAAAATCAATCAGCTTTTAAAATGTGGACAATCATATCATCAGGTTTTCTAAAGGAACACAGAGGAAATACCCAAATTAGGATAGATGGAGGAGGGAAGGCAGCGGGGAGTGGAACTGCAGGAGAAAATGGAAGATATTCAGCACAATATCCAGTTATTTTTTTTAAACCACCCTAGGACAAGATCATACACACCTTATATTAGTCTGCTATAAAAAATGCCATAGAATGGGCTGCTTAAATAACAAAACTAAATGCCCACAATTCTGGAAGTTGGAACTTCAATATCAGGGTGTCAACAAGGTTGAGATCTTGTGAGGGCTCTTTTCCCAACCTGTGGACAGCTGTCCTGCTGCTGTTTCTTCATTTGACCTTTGTTCCAATGCATGCAAGTGAAGAATAGGCTCTCGGGTATCTCTTCTTATAAGGACACTAATTCTATCAGATCAGAACCCTACCCAAATGACCTCATCTAAACTTAGTTACTTCCTCTGAGTTCCCATCTCCAAAGATATAGCCTTGGTGAGGATAAAGTGTTCAATATATGAATTCTGGAGGGATAAAATTATTCAATCCACAACAGATATCACATTTCTAAAACCTTAGATAAAACCAAACAGAACCAATGAAACATGTCCTCAGGGTAGTTTTGAAACACCAATATTTGACCTTGACACAAATAGCAAATAACTGCCTGCATATAAAGTGGGCCCTGTACAAGTATGTTACATTTATGTATCCCTAACTATGAGTCAGTTGGGCAGTATTTGGAGCACAATATTTGATTTACTGTTTAATTGATTACCCTAAGTTTTCACGTGTAAAAAGAGGTAATAAGAAATCTGGGAAAATTGTGGAACTGGAAAATACATTGCTGAGCTTTTCATTTGAGATGAATTGTCTGGTTCAACAAGTATTGACCTGGTAATTTTCTTCTTGTTGTTGACTTCAAACTGAGCTCAGCATTCAAAAGAAGTATGCAGAGGAACAGAGCATGAAAAACAATATAGAATTCAGGCTTGTGGTCACTATCAGTGTCAGAGTAAATTAAGATGACACAGATGATATACATGTTTTAGTATTGCTTTCAATCAGAAAGTAAGGAGGGGTTCAAGGAGCATAAGATTTTGTTCTTCCAGCAACCAAAAATAATTACTCTATATTAATATCGAAATGAGGTTCACAAAAAAGCCTAGGAGCTTGTTAGAAATGCAAAACCATGGACTCCATTCTAGACCTAATGTGTATCAGAGACTTTGGTGATGGAACCCAAGAGTCTGCCTTACCAAGTGGTTCTAGTCACACTGCAGTTCAAGGATCCATGAGGTATACTAAAAAGTTGATGAAAAGTGATGCATTCAGAAAAAGAGGAAGGAGCTGACATTTTACTGAGCTTCTGTAATGCTCTGGGTACCTTCTTAGGAAACCCATAACAGCATTAGGATATGAGCCTAAGTCTATCTAACGCCGAAGACTATGTGCTCATTCTGTTCAGTTAAATTCCTTCCTTAAAATATGTTTGTAGTATCTCTATTATAATTAATCTTTATAAGGATAGTGAGAAGCAAACTATATTGTTCCTATTTTACAGAGAAGAAAATCAGGCTTCCAAAGGTTGGTCACTTTCTCTTGTGGCATAACCTTTAAGTGGCATACTGGATTCACACTCAATTCAGATTGCCACAAAGCCCATGTTCTCACCTTGCCTCCCTGCACCAAGCTGTTTTCTTAATTTTTGAAGATCTTCCACCTTTGGTTGCATTGCCTACCTACTGCTAATCTGTTTTCCATATTCGAAATCTAATGTTTCTCAACTGGCATCCCGGATCTGAACCGCAGAACACAGGAAATGACTTCAATGACTATTCTCCCAAGGACAGTTCTTAGCTAGTGCCAAGAGAGGTGCACAGGGGGGAGGAGTTAACTCATTACACACAATGGAGACCTTGGGCATTGGAGCTCACCTCTTTCACAAAGCCTCTTTGGAGAAAGCCCAGAGGACATATGGAAAACCCTTCTTATTAACCCACCTGGAAATTCACTTTGCTCTCTTCTTTCCAAGTTCCTCTTTGAATATCTTCCTCTAGTAAAAATCTCAAGAGAGAGCACAGCACAATTGAGAAAACACTGACCTGGGTCAGGACTTTTAAAGCCAACACCTATGTTAGGCAGGTGTACCCATTTGATAATTCACTTTTATTCCCAGGCCTCTTTCCTTCTCAGGGAAAATGTGGCCTGGATTCATGAAAGTTGAGAATTACTATATCCAGCTTTAACATTCTAGTGTTTATTAAACAAATTAAGCACCGTCAACTCATCCTTCTTCACTCAGTGAGAAGAAAAGAATGGAAGAAAGAAGAATCCATGTCTCATTATTGTGTGTATATAACTTTATGGGGAGCTTCTTGGATATTATTACACCCAATTTTCTTCTTCATAGTCATTATTATTTTGGATATATTTTTGGAAGGATCTTTGTTCATGAAATATTTTCACTTAGGCCTCCTTAGGATAAGATAATGGTTACCCTAACAGTTCTTAAGAAGTATTTATGATGTCCTGAATCAAACCTATTTGTGGCACTTAAATTTGAATCAATTCAATTCAACCAATTTTACTCTGCAATATTTTATCATGTGCATACCCTGTAAACATTACATTAACTAGGAACTACCTAGAGATTCTATTACAGTGGTGACTCAGCCTGCTGATTAATAATTTTAGAGGTTATTCAGGAACTGTTTCCTAATGAAGAATTCTACTTTGGAGGAGTATAACAATTTTTATTTTTGTTTTGAGCAATTTCATGATATAAAGCTTTTCATATTCCTGAAGTTTTAAATTAGATATAATTTTTGGTTAGTTTTCTAAAACGTATGGTATTTCTCAGCTTGGCATGGCAGCATGTGCCTATAATTAATTCTACCAATATGGGAGGCTGAGGCAGGAGATCACAAGTTCAAGTTCAGCATGGGCAACTTAGGAACTTAGTAAGACTCTGTCTCAAAATGAAAACCAAAAGGCTGGGATGTAGCTTAGTGTGAAGTACCTGGGATCAATACTAACTGTTGTATCAACTAACCAGTCAGTCAGTAAATAATAAATAAAGGCATTTCTCCAAGAAAGAGTAAAAAACATTACCTTTTTACAATCATGCATAATTTATCAGTCTATACATTCATCAAATTTCAAAAAAAATTTATAAAGAAAATCTAATATATATACTGAAGCAAACAGGCAAATATATATCTTCGTAGAAAATTAGATTAGTCAAAAGAAGATTTAGAGTCTTGTGCAAATCTTTGTCAGCTGGGTTCTTTGTATGTTCATCAGAGCAGGATTTAAGTGACCAAAGGGAAGGGCAGGGAAGAAAAAACTTCTCACAGTTAACTACTTACAGCTGTTGTTTTAGCACCACCCGATATAGCTTCATAAACAGTACAGTGTTTGTTTCATGCTGAGCTTGCTCGGTATACAGAAAAGAAGATGCAATTCAGCATGGTTACTTTCAGCCTGGACAACTGGAATCAAACTTACAATTTATGGAAAAGAATGAGAAAGCAGCAGTATGAGCAAGAATTGTTACTAAGCCTTAAATGGAATGATCTCTTATAACCATCCCAGGCTAACCAGTCATAATATTTACATAATAATAAATACTTCTGCTAAAGTATTTAATCTGTATAGATATCAGGTCAATAAAACTTAAAATTTTGCTAACGTTGCAAATTTGCCAAAGCTGTCTAAAATTCTCCCATATATATCTGCATTCCTCCTCTTCTTAAGAATTGGAAGCCAGCCAGGCATAGCGGCACATGTCTGTAATCCCAGCACTCTGGGAGTCTAGGGCAAAAGGATCACAAGTTGGAGCTCAGCCTGAGCAATTTAACAATTTAGCAAGACCCTGCCTCAAAATATAAAATAAAAAAAGGACTAGGGATGTAGCTCAATGTAACACCCTGGGTTCAATCCTCAGTACCAAAAAGAAAGAAACTTTAAAAAAAAATGAATTGGAGCCAAAAAAGCTTTGGATACAGTTAAGTAACTGAGAGTTAAATTATACAGACACAAATAAAAAGTACATATAATATTGCATATACATAGACTTCTATTTTGATTAAGTAAAATTAACAACAAAGTTTATATGGCAGGTTGAAATTGAAGCATACTGATTTATTATTATACTTATTATAATGGTGCTAAGAGATAGACATAAATGATTACCTGTTAATATTATCATTTGGGGTTTTCACTATTATTCTACGTGCAATCTATTCCACAATTTTGATATTCATTCAATAAATGTTTGTTGAACACTTACTACATGCCACACATCATGTTAAGTGATGAGATTATAAGTACTATAATAAGAGTAATAAAACAAGTCAACTTCCTGATCTTTACATTTTAAAGAAACAAATAGTTAAACAGAGACTCAAAAAATGGGGAGGAATCAGCTCTCTGAGGAATCAAGGTGCAGTGGGAGAAATAGGAGGCCGTGAGGGACTTTGGATGATATGAGAAAAGTTTAGGATTTACTCTAATACAATAAATAAGCATCAATATATTTTTAATCAGGAAAGTAACATATGGTAATCTTTGTTTTAAATAATCACTATTGGCAGGCATGGGGGGATAAACCTGGATTAATGCCAGCTAATCAGGAGACTGAGGCAGGAGAATCATGAGTTCCACTGCAGCATAATGGGAGGTGTTGAGTCATGAGGCATTGACCTCATCAATGGATTAATGCTGTTTTCACTGGAGTACATTCATTGTTGTGGGAATGAGTTCCATATAAAAGAATGAATTGGTCCCTTTTGGCTTTCTTTTGTCCATTCTTTGCCCTTCTGCCAAGGGAGGATGCAGGAAAAGGGCTTCACAGATGCCAGTGCCTTGACTTGGGACTTCCCAGGCTCCAGGACTATGAGAAAATAAATTTCTATTTTTAAATAACATATTCACAATTCCTTTCACAATAGCATCCAAAAACCTGAAATACCTAGGGATCAACCTAACAAAAGAAATCAAAGACCTCTACTCTGAAAACTATAGCACTCTGAAAAAAGAGATTGAAGAGGATATCAGAAAATGGAAAGACATCCCTTGCTCCTAGGTAGGAAGAATCAACATAGTGACAATGGCCATACTTCCAAAACTGCTATATAGATTCAAGGCAATCCCAATTGAAATTCCAGCAGCATATTTCACAGACCTTGAGAAAACAATCCAAAAATTCATTTGGAACAAGAAGAGACCTAGAATAGCAAAAGCAATTCTAGGCAACAAAAAAAGGTAGGGGGTATCACAATCCCTGACTTGAAACTATACTACAAAGCTATTGGGATAAAACAGCAAGGTATTGGCCAAGAAACAGACCTGAGGACCAGTGGAACAGATTAGAAGATGCAGAAACAACTCCAGACACACTCAGCCACCTCATCTTTGACAAAGGAGCCAAACATCCTCACTGGAGGAAAGATAGCCTCTTTAATAAATGGTGCTGGAAAAATTGGGTTTCAACTTGCCAAAGATTAAAACTAGACCTGTAGGGCCAGGGATTTAGCTCAGTGGTTCCACTGCCTGCCTTGCAAGCTCAAGGACCCGAGTTCAATCCCCTATACCAAAAAAAAAAAAAATGACTTATATCTCTCACCATGCACTAAACTAAAATCTAAATGGATTAAAGATCTAAATATTTATTTCTTTCTTTCTTTTTTTTTTTTTTTTTGGTACTGGGGATCAAACTCGGGTCCTTGCACTTGCAAGGCATGGGGTGAAACCACTGAGCTAAATCCCCGGCCTAAAGATCTAAATATTAAAACAGAAATATTGAACCGGCTGGAACAGAGGTTAGGTAGAACTCTTGAAGACATTGGTGTAGGAAAAGATTTTATGAACAAAACCTCAGTTGCCCATGAACTAGCACAAACAATCAACAAGTGGAATTTCTTCTCATTAAAAAGTTTCTGCACAGCAAGAGGAACCACCAACAGTGTGAAGAGACAACCCACAATGTGGGAAAAATTTTTTACCAGCTGTCCCTCAGACAAAGGTCTACCATCTAGAATATAAAAAGAACTTTAAAAAATCAGACTCCCTAAATTTAAAGACCCAATCCAAAAATGGATATCTGAAGTGAACAGACATTTTTCAGACAAAAGTAGAAATGGCAAATAAGCATATGAAAAAATGTTCAACATCACTGGTCATTCGAGAGATGCAAATGAAAACAATGCTGAGATTGTACCTCACTCCAGAAAGAATGGCTGCTATCATGAAATCAACCAATAACAAATGCTGACAGGGCTGTGGGGAAAGAAGAACCCTGCTCCACTGCTGGTGGGAGTGTCGACTGGTGCAACCACTGTGGAAAGCAGTATGGAGATACCTCAAAGAACTAGGACTGGAAGTCCCATTTGACCCAGCTATTCCCCTGCTGGGTATCTTCCCCAAAGAATTAAAAAAATAATACCACAGTGATATATGTGCACCCATGTTCATAGCAGCATAATTTGTAATAGCCAAAACTTGGAAGCAGCTCAACTGCCCATCAACTGGAGATTGGATAAAGAAAATGTGTTTTTTATAAAATAAAATGGAGTACTACTCAGCCATAAAAAATGAGAAATTAGAGACATTCATAGCTAAATGGATGCACATTGAGGTGATACTCTTAAGTGAAATAAATAGGGCACACGTGTAAATACCGAATAGTTTCTCTAGTGTGAAAAACCAAAAGTGTAAATAAGGACTAAAAGGTATAATAGATAATGTGAAATAGGAAGAAGAGGGCAAAAGGGAAGGGGAAGTGGGAGGGGTGGGGGAAAGGAAAGAAGGGAATGGAATTAATATGAGAAAATGGAAAACTGGAAACAAAGTCTTTGTAAATAGGGAGGGATGGAGGGGTTGAAGGGTGGGCAGGGGAATGGGGAAAAAATAAAAACCAAGATGGACTATGTAAAGGTGCAAATTTCCTATGATGAATGTCATTATATTGTATACCTAAAGTGTGCCAATAAAATTAATTTTTAAAAAATATATAGTTTCAGGTATTTTGTTATAACAACACAAAAACAGAGTAAGACAGCCACTGTGGCTACTATGTGGAGAGTGGGTTTGAAGGGACCTTCAACTGAATAAGCACACAGATTAGACAAATATTTTAGTAATCAAGGAGGGAAATGGTGGGCATAGATATGATCTGTAGATAGTCATTAGAATTTCCCCAGGATGATGTCAGATTCCTGGCTTCTCATTGAATAGAAGATAACCATGTTACTTCTTAAAACAGATTGTGGGATTAAGGTTAGGTTTACAGTCATGGGTGTGTGGTGAGGAAAAGTATAACAAGGTCCATTTTTGGATGCATCATTCAACTGGAAATGACAATACTCAGTTAGATATTCAAGTTAGAGGCTCAGAAGCAACACCTAGACTACAGATACAAGTTTAAGAAGGCATTTAAATTCATGTGAATAGAAAAAGTATTTTTAGAGTAAAAACATAATAAGGAGAGAAGAGGCATGGGGACGGAATCCTAATAAATGCTAACATTTACAGACAGAGAAGGAAGAAAAACCAGGAAGTTATACTGAATGAGAGAAATAGGAGAAAAACTAAAACAGTAGGATTTGTGAAGAGAAGTTTTAGGAAAAATGATGTTCACTTAATTAATGTTACATAGACTGGAAACTCAAATGTAGCAAATACTGATTAGACTAAATAAAAATGTAAGCAATTGTCCCACTTAAATAATGTATCTATTATTTATAATCAGTATTAATGCTAACAGATATCCTTGTTTGCATGGACTAGGAAATTATCTGATGATCATCAGACTTTCCCACATTTACACTTATTCACAGATTTTAACCCTGCAAAATGTTGGATACCATAGCCTCTTTTTCACTTACCTTCTCCACAACCCCAGTTCTCTGTGGTACTCACGCATCCGACCAGCCATCCTATTCCTTGTTCCAACCATGACCCCAAATTCCAAGAACTCAAGACATATGGTAGCATATTGCTTGAAAGGAAGAAGTCATGACCATTTTTGCTGGTTTAAGAAAATAGGAAGGTAAGTATCAGGCCAAGATTGGTGGCACAGAAGATGGATGAGGGACACACAATGAAAATGGACTTTATACCCCAGGCATCTCATAGCAGAAGAATGAGAAGGAAAAGATGTAAATGTGAGAAATGGGCTGGCTGAGTTTCCTGAAAACACCTAAAGTAGGGTTTATTTAGGGAGGCTAACTAAAACAGAAGCTTAGTGGTAGAATATAATACACGGTAGGCAAGAATAAGTTAAATAACAACTCTCTAAAAATGGCAAACATAAATGTTGCTGGGCACAGCAGGAGAAACCATGTTAGGCAATAATCAGCCTGGAGTTGTTATCTCCCTATCACGGATTAGAGGGGTCTGTAGTTCTCCCTCCAGCACATCAGGGGGATAAAGGAAGCCTTTTCAAAAGTGGAAGGAATGGAATTCCTTCAGCTTCTGTAAGGATATAAGAAATGGGTGGAAAGGACTCTAATATTCATGGAACCATGTTTGCTAGAAAATCTGTATGTTTGTGTCTGAATTTTGAACATGTCCATGGTTGGACAGGAAACTAAATATTATTCCATGGATTTGAATGGAACATGGAAGAAACTGATAGATGATATAAAACTGGGGTAACATTGGAAGCAGGTGACCTGAATAGGATCCAGCACAGCCCCATTTCCTGGACCATTCCTGACCAGAAGTTTCTTCAGTAATTCAGTGAGGAGAATTAGATATAGCGCTCCAAAACTGGTGGTATTAATAAAACAATAAGTCATTGGGAATTTTTAAAAAGTGGAGGAAGAAGAAGAAACAGAGTGAGGAGGTTGCAGGTGCAAAGAACAAACTGCAGAATAGTTTTTGCATGCTGTTATTTTGTGCATTACCTTTTTCTTATTCCAAAGAGGTATTTCCAAATTTGAGTAACCTCCTTATTTCTTCCTTTCTCCTCATACAATCTGTTTCTTAACTCTCCTGAATTCAAGGAGATCTAGAGAAATGAAGTGACTGAATATTTGACTCAGAGGGGAGAGAAAAAGAACTTATCACTATAGTTAAACGTTTGATCAGCCATACTAGTTATATGATTTGTTGATACGGATGACTTGCCTGGATCCTCTTCTCCTGGAATTATCCTCTTCATAACTTGATGATACCAGTGTGGCTGGACAGTATACAGGGAATCCATACCCTGGCAAGTTATAAAGTCCTGTTTGAGGGCCTCTGTAGATGGTCTTTGGTTCTAGCTCATTGCCAGGTAGGATGTTAAGCTACTCATGGGATTCTTTCTGAATCTGAAGCAGGAATACAAAACACATACATAGGAGAATGAGGAGACCCTCAGATCCATGGCTAAAATGTAACAACAAATGAACTGTCCAAAGCATAAATTCTTCCACTATGTCCTTAGCTCCACAGAAAAAATGTTGCTACAGTGTCTACACTGAAAACTAGATTCATGCAGGGCTGAAAACAATGAACTGTTGGCATGAGATCATGTACTTAACAAAAGAAAGCTTTCTTGAATAAAAAGTGGAGAATGACATCAACTATTTGGATTACCAAGCTACATTGCTACAAAAGCTGAGCTTTTTTCCTGCAATCTTTTTCAAATCTCTTTGAATTAATTTGTATTAACGAATACTCTAATAATAAACCCGTTCAGTAAAACAATTCAAAAACAAACAAATAAAAAATATGGTGAACTTTTGTTGACATTCCTCTAGGTTTTTGAAGACTGTTAGTCACTGACATATTAAATTAGGGTTACAATTAACAAAGGGGAAAAGAATGAAATAATGTCTTATGAAGTTAAACAGAGTTGATAGTTTGAATTTCAAAGCAAGTGTCTTGATTGATTTTGGGTCTATACCATCTGAATAACTAGGTCATGATTTATTTTAGACTATGTTTTGTAGCATGTATGTGTGGTTATGTGTATGTGTGTGTGTATCTTTATCTATCTTACCTATATAGCTACATATCTTTTGAATTGAATTACTTCTGTTGTCTCTTTTCTTTTCATTTTTTTAGACAAGGTCTCACTATGTAGTTCAGGATGGTCTTGAACTCACTGTGTAGCCCAGGCTGGCCTCCAACTAACAGTGATCCTCCTGCCTCAGCCTCCTGTGTGCCAGGATTATAGGCATTTGCCACCACACCCGGGTCTCTTTCTTTTTTTTTAAACAAGGTCTTGTTATGTAACCCAAGCTGGCCTCGAACTCACAGCAATCCTCATGCTTCAGCCTCCCAAGGATCTTGTGTTATTTCTATATTTGTCAAGAGTATAAAAAGAGAATTATCTAAATACACATATATGATATGTATTTTTTCCTCATGGCCCAAAAACTATGTAGGTGTTTGGCTTTATCTTAAATTAATTTGGCTCTGTCTTGAAAAAATCATTTCTTTAAAGTCAATACTGATTCAGAGTGAAAATGATTGTGGATGATTTTTCCAATTTTTTACATGTTGAAATGAATATTCCAGAAGCTTTAGGCAGATTCCCCACTTAGTCATTCAGCCATATCTTCCCCCACATTCTGAGTCATTCAGCCATATTTTCCCCCACAGGGAGAGGCCATGATCATCCCTAAGCCGTTAGTTACTCCACCCAGAGTTTTAGGAGATAGATTCAATTTCCAAAATGCAAAGCAAGGATTATCCCTTTTATTTGTGCTATTTTCTCCAGCAGCCAAAACCAGAAACCGTAAGTGAGATGGGCTTGATCACTTCCTTTTCCACATAGTTGGACAGTCTGCTGCTTATCCCTCACCTGTAGTTAGTCCATTTATCAGCTCTTTTCTACAAGTGTGTTACTAAATTTTTATAAGCAAAATAGAAGTGTGATGGAATTCTGCACACATATAGATGGAAAAACATAATATTTGGAACAGGTAAAAATCTGAACTGAAGAGAATCTATAAAAGATCTGAGTTATGATCTTATAAGGTGGATGCTATGGACTGAATTGTCCCCCTGCCCCCAAATTCATGTGTTGAAATTTTAACTCCTGGTACCTCAGAATGTGACTATAATTGGAAGTAGGGCCTTAAAAGAGATAGTTATGTTTAAATGAAATCATTGGGTGAGCCCTATCTAATCTGACAGGTATCCTTATCCAAAGGGGAAATTTGCACACACAGAAAGATGGCCCACCATGGGTTGGCACAGGGGAAAAACTGTATAAGGACACAGCAAGAAGACAGACATCTACAAGCCAAGTTGAGAGGCTGCAGGAGAAACAAACCTGTGCACAGCTTGTCTTTAATTTTCAGCCTTCACAACTGTGAGAAAATAATTGCAGTTCTTTTAGACACCATGTCTGTGGCATTTTGTTATGGGAGCCATAGCGAATTAATATAACAAAAGGACAGAAAAAGCTCAGCTCTGAGATTCACAAAGCTAAGTAAGACTTGCAGCACTCATGTAACCTTGAAGTTGTTAAAACTCCTTGAACATCATCATTTCCTGATCTGTAAATTGGTATAACAATAATTACCTACCTAGGTTTTCTCAAGGATCGAAGGAACCTATGTAAACAGTGTTTGACATAAAGTAAGAACTCAAGAAATATTGTCAGGAGGTGGCTATCTAGTGGGGAAAAGGTGTGGGGTTTTTCATTCCATCAGACTTGGGTTTGAGTTTCACCACTTAGCTAGGTGGCTTCAGACACATTAGTTAGAATTCCAATTCAATATCCTACCTATAAAACTCTTGGAGTACATGTTAGTTCTCTTTGGAAACTTGGTAATCCAAGAGAAAGCCTTCTCCATGTTGATACAATAATCATTAGTAATCCTTACCTAGATGAGCCCATATGCTATATAACATCTAGTTACCAAGCTCTTGATTATTAGAAAGGAAAGTGAGAAAAAGTAGGGCTGAAATAAGGAAAAATTGACAAAAAGTACATGTACTCCCATCCTAAAAAAGGATAAAAATCACCAATAAGCCAGGCTCAATGGCATGCACCTCTAGTCCAAGCTACTTGAGAGGCTGAGGCAAGAGGATTACCTGAACCCATGAGTTCAAGGTCAGTCAGAGTAGTACACTAAGACCTTTGTCTCTCAAAAAAATGAGACAGACAGACAGATAGACAGACAGGCAGACAGACTGAAGAGAAATTACTAATAATTCACAACCAAGAGATAGTTGCCATTTAGTACAATTTTATGGATATCTATGATTTTGTGTGTATCAGTATTAATAAACATTTTCTATGTAGTATTTAAAACTGCTTTTTCCCTGCTTAACAATAGGTTATGAACCTTTTTATGGCTATGTCTAGATGTCCCCCAGAGCCTCATGCAGTCATATGTGGGGCTTTTCAGAGGTGGGTGGATATAGGGTGTGTGATGCTGGGACTATGTGATGCAGAGATTAAGGGTATGTGATTACTAGATTAGTCCACTGACTAGTTTGGCATAGATCTGGGTGTGGGTAATGAGAAGGCCCACCCTGGGTATAGGTGATACCACCCAAAGGGCAGGTAGCTTGGAAAGGATGAAAGATAGAGGCAAGCTCCTGTTGCTTTGCTACTTCACTGCTTTGCTGCCTTCTACCCATCATGAATGGTTTCTCCTCTTTGATGCTCCTCTGCCATGCCACCCTCCCTTGGAGCCAACCAATTATGAACTAAAACCTATACAGACTGTGAGCTATAATGAACCTTTCCTCCTTTAATTTTGGATGTTGAACATTTTGTCTCAGCAACAAGAAAAGTAACTAAGATAAGCCTATATCCATGTCATTAAATAAACTACTCTTTATTTTAAATGATTGAAAGGTATTACATTTTTCAGAATATGTCAGCATCTTTTTTGTTGTTAGATATTTATGTCTAAAACATTGTTTATATAAATCAAGATATTTTTCCTCTGGATGCTTGTCTGATTGATGACTTAGAGGTAAACAGAGTGATTGCAATAAACTCAGTGTGTGAAGGTGGACTTGTGGAAATGAGTGAAAAGACATGTAAATTATGACTTTGGATATTGTGGGAAAAAGAAAAAAGAAGGAAAGTGAAAGATAGTAAGGAATACATTTCTACTTTGAATTTATTGGGGGGAAAATCATTTTTAGGGCCTGTTAAAGCATCCCTTACAAACACAAAGATTCTTACCTCCCTTAAAATTAGTGTATTTCCAGCAGCAACTAAGAGCTAGTGCATTGGACTGTGGCTCAAGAGAAATGGACCAGAGGTTCAAGATAAGCCTTTGGACTTCAGCAACTGGAAAGAGAAAAACGATCTCTACTTTTATGACCCTCCATGGATGATTGCATGAAATTCAAGTTTTAAGAAAATTGATTGCCATTCTAAATAAGCATTTCATTAAAAACACAAAGATCTTTTTTGAGGTAATCTATATTCTTGGATATAGTGATCTATTCATTAATGATATCCATTCTCTCTGTCTCTCTCTCTCTCCCCGACCCTTTGAAAGGACTAGACTTTATGTAATCAAATTCCCAGCTAGAAAAATGTATCAGACTTACCACTTCAACTCAAAAATATGAAAAAGGTGAGGTCTGTTTTGCTTTTCAAACTTTTTTCCTTTTCCCTGCTCCCAAATCTGTGAGTCACCATTCTGTGTGAAAAATGTTTGGAGTGAGAATAATTCCTCAGCAAGTCATGTTAGTAGACACACTTCCCTATCACTCAAAGACATGACCCTTATCTCTTTCTTTCCTGGAAGCACGTCTTACAGAGGCATCTAATCTCATCCAAAATAATGCCTTGGCTTCCCACAGATTGACCACACTGTTCTCAAGTGATTGTGTAAATACCACTACACCTCATTTTAAAGAAAAGGGCTGCTATTTATGTTCTTGATTAGTTGATGTTGGTAAATCCCATCAGTTTGGTTTTATAAAAAGAATTCCTGACAAGTAATTTTTATTAATAGCACTAATTTAATATAATGACTCAGGAAGAAAAATACCTAGAGTAGAATATAAAATAAATAGGTGACTAGGGAATATGCCATTTTGGCAGGAGGCCTAAATATAAAATACTGAAGGGACCTGTAGGTGGAGGCCTTAGTGGCTGGCAGAATACTTGTGATTCCACATGTTTTTGCTGAGCTTCTAAAGGAGGGCCTTGGATAGTGGGTTGATGAGAATATTGACATTCTGTGGAAAATTTCAAAGTGTTGAATACTGAATTTTCAGTCTGATCCTGCAGCTCTGCTTCTCTGGTAAATACAGATGAATAAATACACCATTCAGACAGTCACCTGGCCAGTGGTTCACAGCTGATGCTGTCCACAACTGGATGTTTAAAAAAGTGATCCAGGAGATTCCAACATGGCTGATTAGAGAAGACTGTGCACTGGAGATGCTTGGAGGAGAGATATTGGATAATGCAGGGTTTCTGAAACAGGGGAGGCTAATACACCCAGATGCAGAAAATTAACCTGCAAGATGAATCTTCTAGATTGAACCAAATATCTGGGCTGTTGAAAAAGGGAAGTGAAGCTACCACAGGTCCACAGTTCCCCCTACAATTTTTATCTAGCAAACCATCTTGGGAGCAGTTCTAACAGCCGAGGGAAAGGAGGTAGGGTTGTAGAGTCCAGTTTCTGAGGATAGGCTTCCTACATACATACTCTCCCTCCCACCTGGAAGAGGAAACCCAGTGTGGGAGTTCAATTCAGTAAGGGTCTCAGGGAAGCGGCCCAGACTGCAATCAGATAAAGGGAGAGACAGTAAGATAAAAATAGGCAACCTCTCCCCTCCATCTTTCTCCCAAACTGGAAATACTGTGTCCCCATGGCAGCCTACCCACTGCCCACAACTCAGCATGGATGGGGGAAGCCCCGTCTGTCCCCTAAGCAGACAGAGGCACAAACCGGGCAGCACAGAGCTTCCTGGCAGGGAAATACAGATCACATCCCTGGAGACATCAGAAAGGAGAGAGTCAACCAAGTTGGTTCAGAATGGGAGCTTTCCTGTTGTTTCCCCAACACTGGAAAAAACTGAGACAGCATAAAATCCTACCCTCTGTCCACCATTCAATGTGAGCAAAGGAGGCCCCCTCCTCTGTCTGGGGACTGCTCCAAGTTCCATGGATTAGAAAGCAGAGTTCTTGTGACAGGGACCAGGGATGGATAAATGTCTGAGGACAAAGGAACAGAAAGAGTTGCCTGGGGCAGAGGGCTTTTGATGATAAACTCAAGAGAAGGGCCCTGGAGGGGAGATCCCAGACTGCTGTACAGGGGGATGTGCCCCGCAGAGGGGAAGAGTGGGAGGTCACTGGCCAAAGTCAGTGGAAAACTACATCACATCCTCTTCCTCTTGAATTAATTGAGGTGGTCAGATCTTGGGACAAATGTCTGCAATTGGCCATATCCAAGTCACAGCTTGCCGTCAGGAAGCAGGTCCAAAGAGACTGAGAGCCCTCACCCTCCCCACCACCAGATAGGCAGGCGGTGAAGCAGTCCACAGGGAAACTGGCTTGGCTGCCTGCAATGGGGGCCATGACTGCAGTGTGAAGGGAACTGTGTGACTCTGGCTACAGGATATAGTAGTGCATGGGGGGAGGGTGTTCATTAGTTTTCTTGCTTATTTGTCTGAGTTCTTTTGGTTTTTTATTTCCTTCTTTATTTTACTTTATTTTTAAGTCTTTTCCTTTATCCTGCTCTCAGTCCTTTCTCTTTTTAACGTTCTCTCCTCTCTATTCTTTTTTTTTCCTGTTCCTTATTTTTACTTGTCTTCCCTCTTCTTCTCCACCTTTCTGAGATATATATACAAATAGACCAATTCCTCAACTTGAATGGTATCATTCATGGCCATGTCGGAGTAACCCTTAACAGAATTGTGTGTAAAGGATCCAAACAACACTAACTACAAATGTATTACAGGCTCTAACTACCTCAGAGGTTCCCTCAATCCCTAATCACACTTCCCTAGCACTGCATCTCTCCTCTTACCTCCACAATACTCTCTTAAAGCCCCTCAAAATTAACCCTGTACTGCAGCTATGAAAATACCTCCAACAGAGTCTGGCCTCCTATCTATTTTTCACCTACTGACATTTCTCTTATCTCCATCTCCTTTTACTGACTTACTCCCTTCCTTTACTCCTTTCCTTCTCCTTCCTTCCTCCCTCTAGACTAACTACTAATAGTAGTGTAGTAAAAAATAGTCTGTGAGGGGCACTGACAAAAGGGAAAAATTGCCAAAACAAATTTTAATATTCATGATTGATATATGGTTAGATCTGTAGATGCTGTTTTAACCAGCAGGAATCTCTCCTTACAACACAGTGACTGGGTCCAATATAATTAAACTGAATAAATTGAAGTGGAAGACAATACCTCTTGACAAAGAATCTAAGATCATATCTCTTAAAGACAGACCTTAACTAAAGATATCTTCATTCCAAAAACAAAGTCTTCTCACTCTATTTGATCTTAACTCTCAGTACCCCCACCACCACACACACAATAGGAACACAAAAAAGCAAGGCAACAAAACACTTCCAAAGACTCTTAACTCTCCAAAAGAAGATCCAACAGGCACTGTTGAAGACAAGATCAAACTCCAAGTAGCTTCAAAAAGGAAGCAAAGAAACTTGGTGAGCTCAAAATTGATATAACCAGATAGCAGACTTAGCAAGCAAATTGACCAATCTGGTTAAAGAAGAGTCAAATAAAAAATTAGAAGAACTAACCAAAACAATTCAAAAGTGAATGCCAAATTTATTAAATAGTCTATTAAAAGTTGTCAAACAACTTTTAGAGAAGGAGCAGGCACGTTGAACTGTGATCTTTGGCAAAAGAGCCAAAAGCAGACACTTGAGCAAATATGGCCTCTTTAACGAGTGCTGCTAGGAAAACTGGCTATCCACATGCAGAAGATTGACTCTAGACCAGCAATGGTGAACCTTTTAAAGCTCTCAATGATACAAACTGCCTGCTGCAGCACATATGCCATAGGTTTACCACCACTTCTCTAGACCCATATTTTTCACTAACAATGAAATACAAATGGATTAAAGACCTAGACATTAAAACAGAAACACTGAATTTGCTGGAAGATAAAACTCTTAAAGACATAGGCACAAAAAAGTACTTTCTAAATAAAACTGCATTACACAAGATCAAGAATCACAGGTACAAGTTCCCAATGATAAATGTAAACATATTGTATACCTAAAATGTACCAATAAAAGAATTTAAGCAAAAAAAAAGAATCAACAAATAGGATCATATGAAATTAAAAAGCTTCTGCACAGCAAAGGAAAAAAATCAAGAGTGATTCCCCTCCAGATTGGAGAAACACCTTGCCAGGCATACACTAGATAGAGTACTAATATCTAGGATGTAGGAAGAACTCAAAAAATTAGATTCCTCAAAATAAAAGACACAATCAAATAATGGGCAACTGAAATGAATAGAATTACAAATGACTAATAAATATATGAAAATGTTCAACATCTACTGTCATTACAGAAGTGCAAATTAAAATGATAGTAGGATTCCATCTTACTCCAGAAAAAAATGTTTATCATCTAGAAATAAAATAATAACAAATGCTGCTGAGGCTCCAGGGAAAAGGGAACATTTCTATATTGTTGGTGGGAATGTAAACTCCTGCAAACACTATGGAAATCAGTAGGAAAATTCCTAAAAATAGTTGGGCATGACTGTATATGCCTGTAATCCTAGCACTTAGGAGACTGAAGCAGGAGGACAATTGAGTTTGAGGCCATTCTGAGCTACGCAGTGAATTTGAGGCCAGCCTTGACTACATAGTGAGTCCCTGTCTCAAAAAAAAAAAAAATCAGAAAACTCAAAACAGAAATTCTATTCCACCAATCTATTCCCCTTCTAGGTATCTTCTTAAAAGAGTTAAAGACATCATATTGCAGTGATACATGCATACCCATGTTTATATTAGCACAGCTTATAATAGTTCAATCTTGAAAGCAGCCTATTTATCCATAAACAAATGAACAGAAAGAGAATGAGGTATTTATACACGATTAAGTACCATTCTGCCATAAAGAAGGATAAACTTGAGTCATTAGTAGGAAAATGTACACATCCTGAGACTATAATGTCAAATGAAATGAATCAGACACACAATCTTAAATATCATGTAACTTCTATATTAGAAACCCAAGGTATAAATCACCTAAAAAAATAAGAGATACAAAGTAGGAAACAAGAAGTGGATCTTTTGCTAATGGGAAGGGGACCTAAGAAGTCAGGAGAA